GAAGTAATATCAGCGTTTTACAGAGAATAACAGTTAGCAGACCTGGTAATCCAATGCATATCATCTGATTCTGGAATCCAATATTTTATCTCTCTTAATTCTTTTCTTTTTTTGGCTGGAGTGCAGTGGCTTTATTACAGCTCACTGCAATCTTGAACTCCTGGGCCCAAGCAGTCCTCCTACCTCAGTCTCCTCAGTAGCTAGGACAATAAGCACATGCTCCATGCCTGGCATTGTCTTGCAAGAGGATTGGCCTGTCTCTGTTGACCAATCTCAGCTGCTTAATCGCAAACATCCTCATCATTTTGTCCAGTTAGTTGCTGTAGACATCCACTGTAATTGATTGACCAGGTTTCCTGATGCTATAGTGGATAATATCAGTGCTGGACCATCAAACACACAGCATTAGCTTTTATTGATGAGTATCCGGTTTTGGACTGTGTTTCACCACTTCATCTTTATCCAACCATTGTGCTGAACGCTTGTGATTGTCAAAAATAATCGATTTTTCATTACACTTGTTAACAGTCTCGTGTAGAAATGGTTTACCTTTATGTCGTAACAGCAAAGAAAGGCAAGCTTTGAGATGATTTCTCTTCTGATGCTGGTTCAATTCATGCGGAACCCATCTTTCAGCTTCTTTGTCTTGCTGATTTGCGGGGAACGTGGCCAGTGTTCCCTGCAAAAAACCGGGTCCCTTTGGTAGAGTTGCAAGGGATAAGAAAATAATAGAAATGGAAAATGGAAGAAATAAAAGAATACACTGAGACAAAGATATAGTTTTATAAGTTTATAAAGATTATAGGCAAAGCGGGAGCTGAGGGGGCTCAGACCTCTCCGTTGGTCTCAAAAAGCCCCGAATGAGGTCTTACATGGTAACTTATAGGAAATAGTAAACAATTGTCAGGGGTAACAGATTTACATAACAACAGGTAGTTCCTCTCAGGTTAACAGATTTTCAAAAGGCTTTTACAGAAGGCTTCTACAGATTCTTTAACTAATTCTATTTACGTGAGCAAACGGTTACAAAGTCTTTCAAAGGTTAATTTCTAAATTCTAAGGTAAGTTTATCATTTAAACAGAGGGGTTAAACAGAGATATGTAGGCTCCATGTTTATTAGGTTATTGTGAATGGAGACAGGTAGTCTAGAGTGGTTTAAACAAAAGCTTTGCTTTTAGCCATTCGGGAAGCTGTCCTTTCCGGGAAGCTGTTTGTTCTGGAGGGCACTCCATTGTCAGCTCTCAGCCTATAGTTTTTAACAGATTCGCTTGTGCTTTACAAAGCAAATCCAATTCTTTAGGTCTGAGAAACGCAGTGCCTCGTGGGATACAGCCGCTACTGCCTTTCAGAAACGCCCTTCCGAGTGTAACAGCATTCGAAATGCAAACCAACACGTTCACATATTCTTTTAGGGCAAAGCTCTGTAAAACTCTTAAGACAAATCCTGTCCCAAAACACGTTTAATACTAATTCATGGAGCGACACCGATTTGTTTCAAATGGTCCAAAATTGTTGGAATAGTAACGTCAAACCTTGCTGCTGTTCATGCATAGGTTGAGATGGATTCGCTTCCACTACAGCTTTCAGCTCATCATTATCCACCTTGGTCTCAGGTCACCCCCGTGGCTCATTTTCAAGATTAAAGTCACCAGTCATTATTATTGCATTAGGATAAATGTGATAATATGATCCTAAATTTTATCTTTGGTATAAGTAGGTGATAAAAACGACATTTTAAAAAGTGATGAGGGGCCGGGCACGGTGGCTCACGCCTGTAATCCTAGCACTCAGGGAGGCTGAGGCGGGCGGATTGTTGGAGCTCAGGAGTTCGAGACCAGCCTGAGCAAGAGTGAGACCCCGTCTCTACTAAAAATAGAAAGAAATTAATCGGACAACTAAAAATACATAGAAAAAATTAGCCGGGCATGGTGGCACATGCCTGTAGTCCCAGCTACTCGGGAGGCAGAAGGATCACTTGAGCCCAGGAGTTTGAGGTTGCTGTGAGCTAGGCTAACGTCATGGCACTCACTCTAGCCAGGGCAACAAAGTGAGACTCTGTCTCAAAAAAAAAAAAAAAAAAAAAGTGATGAGGGCAGATTTGCCCTAGTGTCTTCTTCAAAACTCTGGTTCAGGAGAAGGTCCAGAAAGGGTACACTGACATAGTCTACAGCTGTAAGTAAATTCAGATAAAATTAGATCGAGATAGGGAGTTCAGAAGAGAGGATGTCAGGAAAGAGGAAAGGAAGGAAGGAAAACAGGAAGGAAAGAATGGAGGGAGGGAGAGAAGGAAAGCACAGTTAAATCTAAAACAGGAAAGAAATACTGAGAGAATATTTGAAATCAGTTAAAATTGTGAAAAACATTGAGAAGGGTAAACATTAAACTCTCCTAAATCCCTGAGTACTAGAGAACTATATGTGTGTGGTTCTGGGAAAGGTCATGTTATCACTACCATGCTTTGATTCTGGGAGGAGTTGTCATTAGACCAAATAAAGGAAAGCTCTATTTCTGTATTATAAGTAAGCCTAATGGACATTTTTCTGTATCTAGAAGAAGTCAAGGATCACAAAGTGCTCTTACTTCCTTTGTATTTTTATTTTTTTGCTTTTTCTTTAAAAAGCATTTGTATAAATTCATGCTTTAATATCATCCATATTTCTCAAGGATAATATTGACTCAGAGAGATCACTAGATTTGTTAAGACTTTTAATTCACATAATTTTATAATTAGATGGGGATTCAGAAGTTATTTAATGAGAGACCTCACATCTTGCGAAATTGTCTTTACTCTCGGGGGGAAAAAAAAACCAGTGGCTTGCAAGCTGTTGTCTATGGCCATATCAAAGTTGGGTAATTCTCATTCATAATTTGCTTATTTCTCTATTTTTAGTTCTGTTCAATAGATCATCACATTATACATCATCCCATTTTAGTAATGTTGACTACTTTAATATTTAAAGATAATCATTGTACGTATGACTCCTGACTCTTCATATTTGTTAAATATTTCCAGTTTCTTCTACTTTTCCCCATGTGATATGTTTTCCAGATCCTTCATTATTTTGGTTAAGGGTTTAGATGATCTCATTTAAGTTAAAAAAAAAAATGCTCTTCTGTTACATATCCAGTACTGGACTCCAGACATTTTCTGAAGAATGGATTCATATTCTTATAAATTTGATAATTCTAGGAAGCAAATCTGCATGGCCTTTGCTGAATTACTTTTGTAATAGCCATATGTCCTCTCAAATTTGTTTTTGTATCCATAACAAATTTTAACTAATTTAGCTTGATATTAGTATTACAGTTACTTTATTTAAAATGAATTGACTTTTCATTTGATAAACAAGGGAAACAGATCCAGTGGTGGATTTCCAAAACAATAGTGGAGTTTTGTGTCTGTGTGTGTGCATGGTCTTTTGTAGTACGTGTGAGTATGTGGGTTTGTAGGGATGTGAGCATGTACACAGATATGCGTATGGAAGTGTTCTCCTGGAAGACATCACTGCAATTTTTGTGGGTTCTTTCTAGAGACACTATCAAGTGAAAATCTTGCTTTCTAGTTTTTCTTTTTACCATTTTACATATAAGTTGAAGAAAAAATGAGAAAATGATAAAAGAGAATTAAAAATTGTGGATAGAAATATTTTTTTTATGGAGAAGAGACAAAAGTTAGAGAACATTCAAGTCTGTTAGAAGGTATAACAAATAAAACTTGGTTTGCAATTGATTAAAATAAGACGTTTTGCTTTTGTGGCACAAGGCTGCTTTTAAACCATTCATGGGTCTTCTTGAATATACAGGATAGAAGATTATAAAATGTTATAGTAGTGAAATATTTCTCTAACACATGAACATCTTCATATGTCAGTTATTTTTTTCCTCCCAGTTTTCTATCAGATATGTACTCTTGCAAAAAAACAAGAACAAAAACAAAAAATCCAGAAACACTAAAACCATATCTGGTTTATACATATTACATATTTAAAATGTGATATTAGGAAAAATGAAATTAAATCTTTGTTGTTTGTGTAAACGTTAGAGTTTTAATACTTTCTTGGTTTTGAAATCTTAATCCTTCGAAATCCTTTCTTAGCTGTTTTTGAAATCCTAACTGAAATATATCTGTGACTAACAATATTGATGATTATTAATGTCAGAATTTTTCTTTTCACTCACTATTTTAAAAATATTAATTATGCCCTATTATATGAGAGACAGTTTCCTAGAATTTAGACAAAAAGCAAATGTATTTATTAAAATAGTACTATTTTTAAAACTGTTGATGTTATTTTGTTGTGGTTTAAATATATAATATTCTGTCTATTAATTGAGTTGTCTGCTTTATAATCTATCTATGGTAACTTTAATATTCTACTTGCCATTACCATTTCTTTGCTGATCCATATATATTTTAATATTAGCCTAAATAAACAAATAAGACAGTAAAGTGTTATATAGTGTGGTGTCCCAAATAGGCCCTAGGTGCAGTGAAGGGTTTATTAAGTATCAATTTTCAGGTCCAGTTCTTTACAATTCTGATTTAGTAGATCTGAGGAGTTGTTGCCCAAATTGAGTTTTTCAAGCTAAATTGATTCTTACAACATAAAAAAAAAAATTGGAAAACCTTGATTCAAAATCATTCCGAAAACACATAAAGACTTTTGTGTTCTCGCTGTTTTGAATCAATCATACCACTTATTGCATTCATTAATACCGACAATTGAATTGACTGCATATGATATTTGAAATGACTATCTCTTTAAAATTAGGAAGTCACTGCTTCTCTCCCAAAAATCAATATTTTACTCAAGTCTCATTTTCTGTAGCAGGGAATTCACTCAAATATATAATGCATTAAATCAAATAATTTTTTGTATATATTAGTCTTTAGGTTAATTAGAGAATTGCAAAACCATTTTATATGTGTTGATCTTCATAAAAATTAAGATATGATTGAACTTGCATAAATTTATATGTTTTTGTTTTCTATTTTCAGGGTACAAGTTGAATTCTATATGAATGAAAACACATTTAAAGAGAGACTAAAATTATTTTTCATTAAGAACCAGAGATCAAGTAAGTCATTCATTTCATTCCCCTCTTTGTGTTTGTACATATATTTACCTCAAAAAATGTGAATTGTGCAATCTTTTGCAAAATTCTTTTTACATAGAAGAATAAAATTGGTAATCTTGTCTGCCAATCTGTCAGGTAGTAAAATTTTAGAAAACTATAGGCACTACATGTAGTGATGTTAATGCCTCTTGAACATCTTTAATTCTCCAAGTCCCACATCAATAACTAGACTTCTGATTGAGGATTATGTGGGTTAGCAGAAACATTAAGGAAAATAAATGAGGGGTCTCTAAATTTTAACTGTGAAGAACATCTAAGACATATTTTGAGAAAGCTCTGGTGATTCTGATAGACCTCAATAGGCAATAATTGTCTGGTTTAGTGAAGGAAGAGTTTAATGTTTTCCGGTCATGCCTAATATTAAGAAGCATATCTAAGGTGCTCTGAAATATGCAGATTCCTAGGGATGCTTAGCCTGGAGATTTTGAATCAGGAAGTGTAGAGTTAATCTCAGAGCTTAATATCCCAGTGATTTTTATCATCAAACAAATTTGGGAAACGTCGCAACTTCAAGAAGGCCTGAAATTGGCATAGTTACTGCCCTCCTCAGCCCATTCAAGGTTAAAGTGTCCATAATACTTGTTGTCTTCCATAATACCACGTGTTTTAAAAAGCCATATGTAATAAACCAATATGTAATTTTTTATTGCTTAAAATGTCAACAAGAAATGGAGAGGTCTGTATATTAGATAGGTGTAGACTTTGTGAATTTTGACCCCTGAATCCTCTTGGAGTGGTCAAAATTTGGTGCCTCTTTTAGGTAGGATTCAAAGAGAGAAGCCGGATTTATGGGAACTTATCCAAATGCTGACTGTAGCGTATACTTCAAAATTTAAGGCCTAATGGTCAGATACTCCTAATTGTAGGCTAGCCTCAGGGTTAAGGCTAGTAATAGCTAATGCCTTTCTAACCTGGTTTTATAGAATCTCCAAGGAAACCCCATCAACAGATATTACCTAAAGGGTCCACATCAGCTGAATAGAAGGTTTCCTTGCTTTCAATACTAACAATCCTATCTTTTCAGGCCAGAAAAGATGAACGCATTGTTTGAATACTTCACCAGTAGTCATCTTTGACTAAGCAGTCTTTTGAGGAGATCCATTTCTATAAAACCAGCACAATTTGGTTAATGATTTAAAAGACTTTGTGAAAAAGCTAACCCATAAAATGTACTCAACATTTTAATAGGAAAACCTAGGGAAAATGCCACAATTAATAAGCATTAACCTTTTTACTGTTAAGAAATGTTACCACAAGTACACTCACATACAGCAGAGTAGAAAAAAGTGACATTTCATTTTTAGATTTTATTAAGTGTAATAATTATAGGAAGGCCTTTATCAAAATTTTATTCATAATGCATGAATCAGATACCACTGGATAATTATAGAAAAGGTAATGCTCCTATTAATCAGACTTTTGCATATTTTAATTAATTACTCTTCTTCACCATCATTAAATATCACAGGCTACATAATCGTGACCTACACAGTTTAAAAGATACATACATGGCAGCCGTAATTCAACAAGATTTTTTAAGATTTCATGGGTGTGTATAACCTAGGTAAAAATAAGATTTAATTGGTTGAGCTAAAAATTTGTGTGTGTGTGAGAGAATTTCCCAGCATATGCTATTATGATTTTTGTGTAATTATAATTATATGATAATTATAATTATATAATTTATAGATATCATAATTATATAATTAATATCAAATGTATAACGTATAATTATATAAGTATAATTACAATTTCTCTGTGATAAAATCTACAAGGTGCTCTGAAGGTACAAGATTTATAACTTAACCTGTGAATCTATAAGCAGCTAGATTTTCTAGCTAGCTAAACTTTATCCCAAAATTCATGGATATATAAAATGCTTTAACTTGATAAGCATACTTGAACTGACCTTGACTGGACATAAATTTTGTAGCTTTCGAATGTTCAAACCTAGATTTACTCTCAGTAGATATAATATGCACTGTCACTGGCAGTTCATGCATTCTGTCAAACTCACTTTTTGTTTCAATATTCAGATGATTAAAATTCAGCTACCAAGAACTTCAGAGAGTTTAGACAGTTATAGTGTTGTAGCTTCTAAATACAATTTAACTGCTGTACTTAAAGTTGATATTTTTGACAATTCTTTTTAGTCTTTTGTAACTAAGTTCAAATGAAAAATCAAACTTTTATTTTTTGTTTAAAGGTTTAAGAATACGCCTGTTCAATTTTTCTCTCAAATTATTAAGCTGCTTGTTATACATAATCCGAGTACTACTAGAAAGCCCTTCACAAGGAAATGAATGGTAAGATATCTTTGACCTTCAGCAAAATTCTTTGGATTATTTTGAATTGTATCACATTTTAAAGGATGTAATATAGAACCTCTTTTTTCAAGGACATTTTAGGTGTTTTTCACAAATTAGATTGATCTGATTTACAGGCACTTCATGAATACAATTCTTGTGGATTCTTTGTAAGCATGTCTTCTTTTATTGTTTATCTATTTGTATGATGCTAATACTGGACTTTGAACCATAAAAATTTTATTGCTAACGTGCTCTAAGTAATTGTTGTTTAATATGAGTTGGTCTCTTTAAAGACCTGAATGACTTTCTATTTTTGATTTACATATATTCCTAAAAGGTTTATTCTACTGTATGCCAGCTTTGCAGATATTTTCAGTTACACTGTAGTTAATACCCTTGAATGGAAATACTCCAGCATTTAGTGGGATGCCTAACTATCTCAAGTCTCGGTGTTCGCCTCTGCAGTTCTTTATCTAATTTGAGTTAAATGACATTAATTTATTAATTTAACTTATTTTTCATTCATAATCCTGTTGCTGTTATGAAATTGTATTTCTTTTCATTTATGGACTTTCCTTATTAGGCTCTGTCCTTTACTAGAAGCAGCAGGGAAGCAGACTGCTTGTGTCATTGCATGCATCATTTTTATTTTGTCACCATCCCCGATTCCTGTCCAGCCTACTAAATTTATAATAATTTTCAAAGAAGAAAACTTAAATTTGATAACTAACTTGTGTACAATTATTTTTTTACGTGTAAGTTTTTGCTAAGAAAATTTTAAAATGAAAAGATCGAGGTAAAATAGAAAGTGAGCTCATAATATGCATTTAAATTGGTTACTCTTTAGCTTGTTTAGATAGTAAACATTCTGTACTTATTCAAAGGTTTGGAGATAAGTTAAAGATTAATAAGTTTTATCTTATAATAATCTGTGTGATAAGTCTTTATAAAATAATTTATTTAATGAAATATAAATATCTTCATTGAATATTTAGCACGTACCTGTCACTTTGCTATGAATGAAGATATACAGAGATGCATAGGAACATTCAGTACCCTTTGGGAATTTTCAGCCTGTGAAAAGATTGTTTATTTTGGAGCTCCTGCTATTTTCTAGCATTAAACTAGCTGCTTTACGTGTGTTATTTCCTTCAACATATACTTAATCTTATTATTCTCCCCATACACATAAAGAAACAGAGGTTTTCTCCTATTTGCCACTCTCTATTTTGAGACCCTCAGGACTAATCTTGGTACGTCTTCTATCCGTGTTTAACTCAGTGACCACAGGAAGACAGTGCCTTCTCATTTCCCCAAATTCCAACTGCATGTTCAGCTTTTCTACTTGGATGTCTAATAGGCATTTCAGACTTAACCATGTTCCAGTCAACTTCTTCTTCATCCCAGTGAATGACAGCTCCATCCTTCCCCCAAACCCTGTTCCACTCACCGCCTTCCACATTTCAAATGATGACAACTCCATCCTAACAGTTGCTCATGCCAAATGCTTTGAAGGCATTCTTAACTTCTCTATTCGTCTGCAGCATATGTAAACTCCTTAGAAAATTCTGTCATTTCTGCTTTCAAAATATACCTGGCACACAGTCACTTCTCCATGCCACCACTCTGGTGTAAGCCACCTTCTCTCACCTGGATTACTGCATAACCTACCTCCCAATTAGTCCCACTGGTTCTGCCTTTTCTCCCTTTTGGTATATTTGTAATGTAGGAGCTATTCTTGTTAAACATAACTCACATCTTGATGTGACTGCTCTAAATGCCAAAGCAATTACCATAGCCTGTGAGCACTCCTCTTTTCCCTTTGACTTCACTCCCACTGTTCATCCCTCACCTGCTCTGCTCCAGCCACGTTGGCCTCCTCTCTGTTCCTGGATCATGCCAGACACCCTGGCGCAGGGCCTTTATAGGGACTTTTCCTTCTGTCTGGAATTCTCTTCCATCAGATAACATAAGGCGCACTTCCTCAGATCTTTACTCAAGATCATATTAAGCATCCTGTTTAAAATTGTAATCTCCTCATGAGACTCCCTGGAATAGTTTTTTTCCTCTTTTTCTTTATTTCTTTCTCCAGTGCCTTTATTTCTTTTATATATTCCACTCATTTTTCTTAGTTTGTTTCCCACATATACCATATGTATTAGAAGAGATATTCCATGATAGCGTGTATCATTGTCTAAATCCCCAGAGCCTGGCACAAATTAGGCAACCAGTAGTATTTTTTAAATGATTGAGTGAATAAATGAAATGATTGAATAAAAATTTCTTTATAAACTAATTTTGTTTACCTCACCTCACCAGCCTCCTACTCTAGCCATGCTCACCTGCTTGAGGTAACTTATACATACTTTGCTCTCCCTTTCTCTGGGCCTTTGAACATTCTGCTCCCTCTTGGAAATCTGTTTTCCACTCCTGCTCCTCACAACCCACCCTTTTGTGACTTGCTTCAGGACTCCTGGACCTTTAGGAAAACAACTTCTTGGATAACATTTAATCTGATACCATTCCCAGGTATCATGCCCTATAGCCCAGTTCCAATTTGGGTTAGGATTACCTTCTGGGTACTCTGTGAGCATCTCCCACACTTCTCTCACAACATCCTGTACAATACCCTTGATTTTGCCATTCACCTCTTTGTGCTCTGTGTGTGCCCACCGAGGGCAGGGGCCATGTTGTGTCTGGCTCTGTGGCTCTCCTACTTAGCACAGGACATGACAGTCAGTGAATGCTGCTGAATTAATGGAATGATGCTCAACAATTTTATTGACAGTGATGCCTAATGAAGACAACTGAGGACCACTGCCTGGACCTGTCAGTGCCTATTACATTTATCACATTTTTCTGTCTGTGTCATTAAAATGGTTCACATAACAAATTCTTCTGTAGTCGTACCAGAATTGTTTTTTAAAACTTGGTGATTTATAATAAAATGTACACTAGCGAGAGCTGAAAACCCTAAAATGAGTCATGATTGAATCCATCTAAGGGTAAAAGGGTACTGGTTGGTGACAGCAGAGTACAATCATATTATTTGGAAACATTAAGAGGAACAAAGTTTCCTACAATTAACTTCTATGTAATATTCCTAAGAATATTCAGCCATAATTATAGAGGATATACATTTAAAAAATCAGATTACTGTAATTAAAAAGCATAACAAACTAACTTATGGCTCCATTTTAAGTACAATGTTCTGTTTTGTTCCCATTGTCAATGCAGTATTGGTTAATGAAAAACAGAAATGGCCTTTATGTGCACAGGCTCTATTTTAAAATAATGAGGCTAATTAAGCAGAGATTTATTTAATTAGAGCTTCTGACATGATAAATCTGCAAGTATTTTGTGCTGCTTTGCTTTATTTTTAAGTCCCTTCTTAGGAATCAAAAAGGGTAAGAAAATGTTGCAATGCGCACGAACTGAAGGATATGAAAAAAATTTTAATGTTAACGTATGACATTGTCCAGTGGCAAACTCTGGTGTACACACAGTGTGTAGTAAATGATTTGAAGGTGTTAGCGAAGGAAACACACCTGCAGCATGTAGTTCATAAGTTACACTGAAAGATGAACCATCAGCATTGATTCACTGCTGCTCATGCTTCCAGTTCTTCACTGTGTCAAAACTCATGCATCTGTTTCCACTTTTAAAATTGTTGAAGTGATTAATACTTTTTAGCAGCAAATGGTAGAGGCAAAAGTAGGAAGCCCATGAACATGCTTATATTTTATGGTATTTGGATTTGCATTTAAAATCAGTGCCTAATATAGCAAATGGTGTTTTCAGGTGACATTCAAATTTTAGAGATTATTTCTTCCTTAGGGTAACAACTTTTAAAAGAAGAAATAGTATTTTGACCACATCTTTTAAATATTTGATGACCTACAGGAATAAATGTTTTAGTGTAGACCTTTTCTTCTTTCATGTATATTGACTATTTTTATAGATTAAAGTAACACCAAGTACTCTAACGTAAAATCTCAAAAGTTCAAAAGAATGTTTTTATTTACTAGAGAGTCTAATACGGATGTTTCTAGTCAGTGTGGACCCTTTCTCCAAATAGTGATTCACACACACAAACACACATAAATACACATCATCGTGTGGTAGGTGTAATATTATATGTGCGAACCACTTGCATTTTGCAGCTACATGTTGTCCTAAGGCCTGAATCCTTTGCATTCAACTTTCAGAAAGAGAAAAAGAGCATGGAGATGGCACATGTAATTTTAAAAATTCCTGGCTAACAATGACAAACGCCGCTTTTACTTGTATTAAAATATTTTGTACTCAGATCTCATGTGAGAGTCAGTCACATCCTCATATCTCAACACAGATTGAGAAATGTAGTCCGGCTGAAGAGTGGTTTTGTGCACTCAGCTCTGTGCCATGGAGGAGGGCGAATGAATATCGATAATGAGGGAAAGCCACCTCTGCCACACAGCCAGTGTGTGTCAGTAGAAAGGCCCTTGATGTCCATTCTCTCAAAGAATCAGCAAACGGTCCTTGCTGCAACACCCTTGACAGTTGTTTGTCTAACCTGGGGTTAAGTATTTCCAATGTTTTGAAAGGATTCAGTTACTGAAAAGTCTTCTGAATATATTGGCAAGACTGTAATATGCGTTTGTATCCTGGTCACCTTGTTTTTGGATGCATACTAAAGTTTGTATGTTATTGAAACATGGGCCTAGAACAATACCTAGTACTCAGGTCCTAGTGATTGTTGTGGTTAGGAGAGTTTTATAATTTATGACCCTGGTTTATTTGTTTATTATTTGTTAATATGATACAGGCTTGTGTTAGTTTATGTTGGAGCACTATCAATCTTTGAGCATGCAGACTTGAATAAATGTAAGACTGCCATGTCAAGAGTTTTGGTCTTTATCCTAACAAAAGTGCAAACCCATACCCCGCAGGGTAGTGTGATCTAAAGTGCTTTTTGAAAGAATCAGTGTCATTGCAATTTGGAGAAAAATTGTAGAAGGCAAAAGAAGGTGCAGGGTCTCCACAGATAGGTTTTTGCATGAGTCCAATTGTGAAAAATGGTAGCTTAGAATAAGGTGGTTGTAGAGATGAAAAGATTAGATGAATTTTACAGATATTTGGCAGGAAAAGTTGAAAAGATTTGATGATTGATTGATTAAATATTTACAGATACAGAAGAGGAAAGTATCTATGATGATGCTTAAGTTTTGAGTAGCCAAACACAATCAGATTTTATACCATTTACTGAGATGTAAAAAACAAAGAGGACCAGTATTTGGAGAAAAGATCATAAGTTTTGTTTAGAACAATTGACAATGTCAGTTGGCCTGGTAGAAGTGACATTCTGGAAGTTAAGAGCACTGTAATATGCGAGGTAGCTATTTTGAGTGGTTTTTTTAAAGTTTTGCCATTCTTTTTAAAACAAGAATTTTGAAATTTATTGCTGTTTGTTATTGTTTAACATACTACTAAACAGAAAATGACTTAAGGATTTAAATGTACACTTAATACTTTATGGAACTCCTGTCTTATTTCATAATATAAAGAGTGAGTGAGGCCGGGCACAGTGGCTCACGCCTGTAATCCTAGCACTCTGCGAGGCTGAGGCGGGAGGATCAGTTGAGCTCAGGAGTTCAAGACCAGCCTGAGCAAGAGCGAGGCCCCGTCTCTACCAAAAATAGAAAAAAATTAGCCAGGTATGGTGGTGCATGCCTGTAGTCCCAGCTACTCCGGAGGCTGAGGCAGGAGGATCACTTGAGTCCAGGAGTTTGAGGTTGCTGTGAGCTAGGCTGATGCCATGGCACTCTAGCCTGGGCAACAGAGTGAGATTCTGTCTCAAAAAAAAAAAAAAAAAAAGTAAGTAGGTTTTGTTTTATTTGTTTTGGAGAGTTATTATTTATATTTTTGGGGGGATAGGAAAATGTAACTATTTTCATCTTTACCCAAGTAGGGTATATTGCCGTGAGTAACTCCAGTTTGAATCAACTGTAGATCAAATGATGTAGTTAGAGGTAGGGTAAAAACAGTGGAAAATTAGAATTAGTAAGACCATAAAAGTGTTATTGTGTTCTTGGTGGAGGATAGGCATTTTTTGACATCAGAAATGATGATTTTTAAGGACAATATAGCTCACCTAATGTTCTACGCTAACCCTAGTCACAGGTTATTTTTTTTTGTGATATGTTAAATATGTTATAAAAATTGAAATCTGAAATACTATTGTCCTGTGTATTCAGAGTTACTGACTTTATTATTATTATTTACACTATTGAACTTGTAATGCCTAAATATTTAAACCAAATGTTTGTAAAAATGAAAAAAAAACATAAAACAACAACAAAATTTTAGTTTATAAAAATAGCAACAAAATTTTAGAGTATACAGAAGACTCATAAGTGACTTTTCAGTGGAGAATTATCTAGTAAAGGGTTTGAGGGTTTTTTGCCCTGCCATATCATTTTTTAAATGATCACTTCTTGTGAGCATTCATTATTATAACAGTGACGACAAGTGAAATTGAACAAGTTTTTGCTGGAATATAAATGAACATTAGCAGAAAGAAAACTAAAACAAAAGTTTTTATAATGTTAATGTTGATAGTTTGTCTTTTTTATGCTAGCATTATTTTAATATTTTCAACTTGTTTGAATTTTAACAGTAAATTGTTTTTTCAAATTTTTAAAACTAACATCTTACTATTCTTTTTGTAGGTCTCATATCTTTTGGGTGAACAGAAGTCTACCTTTATGGGGATTACAGGTTATGTACAATTTTGTTTTATTCCTATATTTCTGGGTTAATCATATTTCACAGAGAAATATTATTAGAGAGAAAATTGTTTATATTCAAAACGAGTTTGTCTTCCTGTTGAATTAATCTTGATGCACATCTTAGACTAACATTTTTATTTCTTTCTTCTTGTTTACCTGAGACCTGCATTCTACCTTTTGCGAATTTCCTGGTTTTCAGGATTAGATTTTTAAGGAGCTCTTGAGAGTGTGGAGAAAACCAAAGTAAACCAGTATTTTAAGGCTTCACAAGTTTTCCCAAATTACATTAGGTATTCTTTTTATAGAATTCTTGTAAAATTACTCAGGAGTCCATAGCCATATTTGCTTTTTTACCTTGTATCCTTGGTGCTTATTAAATGAATGAACAAATGAAAGAACAACTCATATTACCAATAGTAAGAGCTTAGTTCCTAGCCAATTAGTTTTGTAAATAAAACAAAAACTATGCCATGGCAGAAAAGGTGTCCATAAGAAAAAGTGAAAAAAAAATGAGAGAGAACGAAATGTCTAAACTGCATTGTTGAGATGTTCCCTAGAGTCCCCAGTACCTCTTCTTTGATCCTTTTTCTACTCGTTTTCGTGCACAGCAAACTTTTTACAAGTTTCTACCTCCTCTACTTCTGTTTACCTCCTACAGATCCTTTTTATTTTCTATTTTTTTTTAAGTACAAATAAATTGGAAGAATAGGATCACTAACATAAAAAAGAATTGGAGATCAGAAGACACTTGAGTCTTGAGGAAAGGGAAAGTCTTTAAGACTTATTGCTTAAAAACAATCTTTAAAATACTTTTAAGTTAAATGTTTTATTTTCCTTTTAAAAGCATGATGATTGTGAAGTTTGTACATTTTGTATGTGTTACCGAATTCTTTTAAGTATGTATGCATTGTGATCATAACTATGAAATCAAATTTTTACTATGTCTGGATATTTCATATTTTGTTGAAGACAAGTTATTTTTATTTTTTTTACACTGACTTTTTTGTCATGTCACATTAATTTATAAAAACCCTTTCAAATATTAAAGTGTTCATTAAAATGTCTAGTCCTCTAAATTCAGATCGAGGTTTCTTGATGTTTATATGTGATCTTGTTTACACTGTTAATGTCCACATGTGAAGCCATTGCACAAATAAATAACCAATGATCAATGTTAAAATTAAAAAAATGCAGCCATTTAATCTCTGAGCTAGATTCCTATATTATCCTTCAATTGAGTCCACATTTAAAATAAATTAATATTTCATAAATAGTCATATGTCATCTTGAAATATATTTTGATCTACTAACATTGTTTTATTTAACAGTAATATTTTAAAATAATAATGCTTATTTTTAAATAGTACTATGAGTTACTTATGATAAAAATATTCTAGCAAATATTTAGCATTGTGTACCTCTCGAAAAGAAAACATAGATGGTTTAGTGGACTTGTGGAGAAAAGCAAAGAAGTTTGAGTTTTCTATCATCATAAATTTCTGGCTACTGCATGCACTTCTAAACATATTTTACTTAGACTGTTATGCATTCATCTGTTTTTTATTATTTTCATGTTTGAATATTCACTTAAATTCAAAGATTTATTCAAGATTTATTCCAACAGGAGACACAATTTAATCCCAAGGGTATCTGTGTCTTTCATTCAGATTGTCTTAAACCTCAAAAATCTATAAACAAATATATTTATCAGAGTCATTTCCTGTTTATATTTGTGCTTATTTGATTCTATTTATCTGTCCTTAAGTGCTTAGAGTATGTAACACAGAATAATTTCGTCATCTTTTCTAGTTACTTTTTCTGTTGCAATGATAGATTTTTGGTGAACAGTAGAAATTGTATGTACAATAGAGCATACAGAGAAAGACAAAAGAATGTCTAGGAGGATGCAGGACTTCCATCTGCACAAGGGGGAGTGGTTATGAAGTTCATTGAAATAAAATCTGAAAGTATCTCGAAGTGCTGATATGGTCTGTTTTGTTTAGTGTTCATGGATGTTATTATTTCATTTTGTTTGATGTGGATGACAGGATTGAATATATTATTCACCTCGAAGCTTGAATTCTTTTATTTTCTGTATTTTCTGAAGTGAAATGCCTATTTTGGCAGAGCTGGTGGTACAGGTGCTGCAGAAGGGCAGTTATTTGTGGCAGGGCAGCGTGTGATGGTGTGTTGGGACACCCAGATGACCCTTTTCTGCACATAGCTGGTCTGACTATTCTGATCCTACCTTAACATTTTGAACAATAAAAAAGATTTTTAAGGAATATTAGAAATTATAAAAACTATGCTATAGTGCAGGGGAGCTCATAGCTGCCACCTTTTGTAGAAGTTAAAGTGCCTCCTAATACCTCCTATATCATATATATATGTATTATAAAAGTAAAGTTAATAGTATAATCACAAATATATATTTTAATTTTATTGCATATTCTCATTAAGTTACAATTTATATTTTAGGTTTCAGTGGCATTGATAAGCCTATTTGAAACAATACTACTTGGTTATCTTAGTTATAAGGTAAGTTATTTTAATTAGCAGTTTTCTGCTGATAGAACGTGTTGCTAGCATTCACTCAGTATTCCTCTATTTATAATTCATACTTCGAGATAAGGCAGGCTCTTCATAATCAGCTTAATTATTTTTAGCCCTTTTAGGGGGTGATAAAAAAACTAGTGATATAGTAATGTTTTCCTTGGTGACTTAAAAATGCTCCACTAATTCCCATGGATTTACTTATCCATTATATGCATATTGTAGAGAGGAAGTCAAAGGGAATGGTCTAACTTTTTATTATTCTCAACCTATTTTCTTAACCTGTACAAAAGTATTGAGGGAAGCAACAACAAGTCTGCTAGGTATTATTTTAATAAATTATTTTAATTTTTGGTGAAGCTTTGTTTGGCTAACACAATTTAACAAATATTTACAGAGCCCCTGTTTGATAAAGAGCTGCCACTTTGTATGACTTTCTTCTCAATGAGTTTAGAACCAAGAATGGGGAGTAGGCAGGGGAAATTATGCAGATAATAATAATACAAGGCAGAATATGACTGCTTTCAGCGAGGTACAAAGAAAGTACTATGGCGATTCCTAGAGAGAGGTCATATCATGGGATGAAAAGGAAATACTTTACTGACTACAGCAGAGTCCTTGAATCATAATGATTTTAATAAGGCAAGATGAAGAGACAGGGCAGTAGGGACTGATAGGATTAGCAAAAGCATAAAGGAAGGATTGTGCATATAAACTTGGAGGAATAATAAATACGTGTGGCTAGAATATGGGGGCATTGTGTGGCAGCATATAACGGGAGGTTGATGGGGGCGATTAACATGCGAGTTCTGTAATTGAAATTCGGTTTCGGGTATATTAGTTCAGAACCTCTGAAGTGCTGTAGGTCGTGTGCTCGGTTAGGAAGTGTTGCAGTCTAGAAGGGAAACCAACAGTGAGATTTGGCTAGGTGAAAGGAATTGCCTGATTTGATGAAAAATTAATTATGAAGGTAGAAGCTAAAAGAAATACCATATTGGTTGAGAGAGAGGTGAGAAGCATTCTAAAATTTAGAGCCTGAATGGCTGGAAATATGGAAGTAAAACTAACAAAACAGTTATTTCAAGAAAAAAGTCAGATTAGAGTCCAGATAGAGGAAGTACTGGAATTGGTTTTGCAGATCATGAATCTGAGGTGCTGGTAGACAAACAGACGTGGCATGCGGGCAGTTGAGAATGAGGATCTAGAACTGTGGAGAGAGGGGGATGTATTGAGAGTTGGCAGTCGTTTTTACAGAGCTGGCGAAGGAGCTATGAGAGTCCCCCACACAGGAGGTGATCATCAAGACGGAGGTGCAGCTCGGTTGGTGGAGATGCTTACATTGTGCGTTTTGGAGGAGGGACGGGGCAATCAGAGAAGACGAAGACAGACAAGCAGGCTAGAAAGGCATCGAATGGCTGAGTGTCATGACCATCACTCATTTTGGTTAATGGTTTCTTCACCTGCTACTGCGGTCCCCACCCGCTGCGATCCCTGCTGGTCCGTGGCCCGACAGGAGCTGGGCCGCCCCGCAGGGGGTGAGGCAGCTCGCCTGTGTTTGCAGCCGCTCCCCGCGCATCTCCGCGTCCGCTCCGCCTGCGGTCACAGGAGCTCGGGGTTAATTGTGCTGCGCGCCGCGGCGCGAGGGACCCAGGTCCCGCGGAGGTGTCCGCTTGGCCCCCTGCGAGACTCCAATGCCCCGGGCTCCGAGGCGGGGGTGCCAGCCCGGCAGCGGCTGCACATGCAGAGCGTCGCTAGCAGAGAGGCCTGCGCGGTGCGCGTGAAGCGCTCCCATCACCCTGAAAGCGCCCCGCGCCCACCCCGTCTGCGCCTGCGGAAAATTGTCTTTGTGAAACCGGCCCTCGGTGCCAGAAAGTTTGGGGACTGCTTATCTACTGCATCAACAAGTGTACTCAAGGTTATGTTCTTGGAAAACTGTTAGCTAGTGTATCAATTTCTTTTTCACTTTCTAAAACATAGAGTTTTGAAGATGACATTTTTGACTATTTTTTAATCCTAAACTTAGGGTAAGAAGGTTTTACAAACTCGACTTTTTTCAGGCTTTATTTTTTTCTTTTTAATTCTCATTATTGCCATCTAAAGAAAATAATGCCAATATCTAAGAAGGTGAGATTAATAATAAGAAAGTATAGAAAGAAAAGAACGAGGACTTACAAAAATGGAGACAGATTGACTAAATATTTATGAAAAGAAATAGGATGTTATAAATGTCTAAGAAAAAAAACTGTCATATGAGAGCATGTGAACTATAGCAAGTGTAAGAAGCTTGAGAAAAGGCCGTTGAGTTTAGAAATTAGAAGATCATTTGCTATTCACCTACAAGAGACCAGTTATACTGGGGTACAAAGGAGAGTAAAAATAGTTAGAGGGAGAATGTTGGTTGACTGGGGCAGGAGCTTGCTAGAAGTAGCAGAATTAAGCAGGGATGACCACTTAATAATGGAAAATATCTGCATTGTTTAAAGAGAAAGTAGAAGGGAAGAGAGAAATATGAGACATGAAGCAAAGTTTCTAATAAGAGAGAATTCACTGGAATAGCAACCTTAGGTTTGATGTTCAGCTTTGGAAAGTCTCCGTTCTCTTATGAGAGTACAGAAGATGGAAAGTGATGTATGAGGGAATATTTGAAAGCTAGAGAAGGGAGGTGAGAGAGCTTACATGTGGCAGTCACATAGCCCTAAATTACCTAGAAAGTACTAGATCAATGATTAGCAGTATAGACTAAGATATTGAGGAAGGGTCTTTTAATAGTTTATTACTGTATATTGGTATCAAAATAAGTGCTATATAAATATGTCCTGATTGACAAATCTGGATTTTGAGTACTTAGAAAAACAAAATAATAATCAAATAAATTAATATCCCAGATTTTATCTTTAAATTTCTTTAGTATGCAAGTATATGATGAATGTTAAATGTAATATATAAATATTTAGGGTTTTGAATAAAATTAATTATATCTCCTTCACTAGTATAATAGTGTGTACAGAAATATAATGTGGCCAAATGTTAATGTGTATTGTGGATACATTTGTTTCAGCTTCTAGCTGAAAAGTAATGTGAAATTAATGTTGGTGTTTTGCTAATAAAACTCTTCACTCTAATTTAAAAAGTCATTTTAAAAGCACACACAGATTCAAGATAATTTTCCATTGCAATCATATGATGATGACATTTGTAATTAATTACTTCCTACCATTTATAAAATGAGAGCAGAACATTATAAGACTTAGCATGCAGAGCTGGATGATATATAATATTTCCATTATGACCCTCATAAACATTAATGGCTTAAGAGGAGGAGAGGTAGATGGTAGTTAAAAACAGGGTGTTACAAAGGAAACAGAAAGGATAAAAAGGGGTTATGTGACAGCAGGATGGGTTGCTGTTAATTATCTTCTGTTTCCTCTCATAACTTTAGCCAAATTATGAACTCTTTTGACTTGTTCAACAGAGTGTTGGATAATTTTTTTGGAATGAATAAATTAAGTAATTGGTAAGTATTTATGATATATAAATAAGGCATGTTTGGATAACAGAATCTAAATGTACTCCCCTCATTAGATTTTTAAGAAAAATAACAGACAGGCATGCAGAATATTGCATTGCATCAGCAGTGTATCCGTTCCTAATATTATTCTTTGGTACTTATAGTTCTGAATTATCGATATTAATAGTAAATCACATATATTTTTCATATGTTTAAATATGTCACTATACAGAGACAATGTATATACTTATATATACAATATATGTATATATTCAATATCTAAAAGTACATTTAATACAATATTGTACAAGCACTTTGTAGATCTTGAAATTAGACATTGTAAAATAGGCATGACTTAAGCCTTAATAATTAAGACAGTTTAGACAGAGACGGCAGCTTTCGAAAACCAGACTAATGAGTTGAATTGAAATTAGCAAACTCTTAAAGTACCTGTTGACGTTAGCAGATAATGAATTAAAATCCATGACATTTTGTCTTCTGTCATATAGAAGTGCAGGTCTGTGCTTAAATTGTCATTCCATTCATGTTTATAGCTAGTTGGCAAAACAACCATGGTAATCACTCAACACTAAAGTTCTTATTTTTCTGTCACCATAAATACCCTAATTCTTTATTAACTGCTTTCAAATAGAACTCTATTTATACCCACACATTCATTAAATCAAAAGGAAACAAAAACAAACCCCAGCACAATTTCCAAACTTTTGCAAACAAAAATTCATCACACCTAGAAGCCTTTTGTTAAATCTACATTTCTTTTTCCTATAATCAATGTTATAAAAAAGCAACAATTTTAAAAATTTAACATCATGCTGCTGGCTTATTTCTGGAAAAGAACAAAGGTTTTAGTCTAGGACTTCTGGATATGCCTAGATATTGCTGATTCTGCTTATCATGCCCAGGAAATGGTAAATCTCAATATTGTTGAATTTACATTTCAAAATACAAAGTAAGTACTGTCATACTTACTACACTATTTTAAATTCATTCAAATAAGACAAATTATCAGCTCTTTTCGTTAGCTATTTTAAATATAGATATTCTTAACATTTAAAAATATTTATACAAAGTACCTTGGTTCAACCTGGGCTGAAAACATCTGAACTGCTATAACTCATATAATTTTTAAAGTGCTTTTTAGAGTTACCTAGATAATAGCTCCAAGTTTCCACCTTTATTGATGATGAAAATAAAAGCCTTATACATTTTAGAAAAGCACATATTTTCCTGCATTTTGATTGATTAAGGAATAATATGCCCATGCCAAATGTAGAATGGTTGGATTAAGGTTTACTTACATTTTATTGAATTCTGTCAATGAGAAGGGAACAGAGTATTATACACTTAGAACAGATAAAGCTACTACTTAGAAACTATTTTATAAGAAGCTTTCTTTTGGAAGTAAACCAATGCTTTTTATTTCCTTCATGAAAATCAGATTAAATAAAACAGTATTTAATATAATTTGAAAGGCCTGTGCTTGCTTTTTGGATTTTGTTTCATAGGTCTCTATATATTGGCATTCTATGGATACATGCTCTCTTTTTTAATCATAATTGCTTTTGTTCTGTGGATTTTTATGATGGAGGCTTATTGGGTCTCCCTAATGGCCAAGGAAACTTATGGATCTTTTTTATATTTATTTTTCATTAGCTATTTTTAGGGGAGATAATTTATGACTGTATTCCTTAGTTCAGAAGACAAGCTGAGATCTTAGAATTAAGCCTAATGAATATAACTGAAAAGACATGCATTTATTTTCAGGAATAAGTATATTGTCTGCTGTAAAATTTTAGACCATGAAAATCAGTCCTCAGTGGGAAGTTCATTCATTTGCCACAAAACACACATGCACACATGTGTGTGCACACATGCTGTGAATCAGCCATAGTGTGGTTGACATGATGTAGTCACAGTTTTTATTTAGGAGCTTCAGACTGTCAAGCCGTTGTGCTGGGAACAGAGCACATGATCCTAAACTATAATGGTTGCTGCCCTTGACCTCACGGAGTTTACAGTCTAGTGTTGTAGTGTATTAAATATGAAAATACAAAGTGAAGAAAGCAATGTGAAAGAAAGTGATGGAGAATCCAGAAGCCTAATGTGAGGATCATATCTTTCCCAAAGTATGTAGGATGAAAGGGGAAGCAAAGACTCAAAACACTCAAAAGATTCTGAGTTGAGAGCTGAGAGGCATATGTGAGTTAACATGGCAAAATGCCATTGGGAAGAAAGGTGAAGATTTTCTTAGCCTCTCGAAGAGTTATATGCAAAAGTATGTTATATGCAAAAATACTAAGCCATATTCAAAGACCTGAAGGGTCTGTGGAAGGAGAGACCTATAAGGGCAGAGAATAAGATAGTGCCTTGTAGGTTGCAACAGGATTTTTGTCTTTGTTGTGAAAGTGTTTGAACAGTTTTCAAAGTGAGTGGGCTGGGGGTGGGGCGAGGCCTGGGGAATTGGTAGCAGTGCAGTGAGTGAATTGGAGTGGGGCAAGAATGAAGGTGCCATAACACAGGTGCCATAAGTCTTCTAGTCTCTTCATTCACATGGCAAATCTCAGTTTAGTATTCAAGGAAATTATGATCAATATATGCAAAAGTTTAAAATGTTCATCTGAGAAGGTTTCAGCCGGGCCTCATCTCCAGGCCTGCAAGGGGCAGGGAATCATCACAGGGGCCATCTCCTGCGTTCACTTCCTCTCTTTTTTGACGCCAGCTGATTCTGGCCCTTCCAGGGCTGAGAAGGAGCAGGGGGTAAAGTGCAGCAAGCATCTGGAGGAAGTAGCTAACTGGCATAGTCACGGTGTGGAGCTGGGTCACTCTGGGCGGGCGCAGGGGCTGGCTCTGTCTCCCAGGCGGCGCGCTGCAGTCCTGCTGGGACTCTGCTGGAGGCTCCAGAGCCTCTGGTTGGCCGCTGGGGCGCTGACACTTGGGCTCTGAGGTGCAGTGTCTGTGGGGGTTCCGTTTCACCTGCAGGCACCCAGTCTTGTCGAGTGTAAACCATTTAACAATGATCATAGGTTCCATTCTTCAGGGTCTATATCTGGTTCCCACAAAACAGGCACCTTTGTCTTAAAACCGGAGGGATCGTGGCTTACTCTTATCCCAGTCCTCTTTCCTTTGCTCCCTTCATTTTTTAGTGTTTCAGGCATTAGCCAAATGCAGGCTCCACGTCTGAGCCATGCTCTCTAAGCGGTTCCCTTGAGCCCCTGGAACCCCTAGGCGGTTCCCCCACCTACCTAGAGGTGATGAAAGAAACAGCACAGCACCTTTAATATCTCTGTATAGAGGAGTTCTCACAGTTTCTTTCTTCCACCTGCCCCTTCCTCTGCCACCTTTTTGTACAGCCTGGAGGAGAGTGATAAACTAGTCCTAACAAAACCTATTAGTCAGTATATTAGTACACCGATGATAGCTGATCCAGAACCTTGCTTTGGGAAGTGGAGTATATTACATCAACGTAATGTTTTAAGTCTTTGAAATTACAAGGAAATAAGAAAAACTCGCAATTTTATGACCGGTGTTATAAGATAATTGGAAATTACAAGGATGCCAGATTTCAAAGTGCCTTTCTAATACAGAGATCTCTTCAGAGAAGAATAAACGGCTGTAGGAAGTTCTGAGTTCATTGTCACTGGACACCATTCAGGAAAGTTTCAGTGGTGACCTATTCACATCAGGGTCAGCTTTACCGGCATGTGGTCTGTGCAGTTGCATAGGGCTCCACAACTAGAAGGTCCTCATGCTTAATGCTCTGATGTCACCTTGAAATTGTTAAAGATCAGTCAATAAGAAGCCTCACATTTTCATTTTTGCACTAGGTCCTGCAGATTATGTATTCAGTCTTGATTAATATGTTTGTACTGTGTGGATGGGAGATTAGGTTTTAGATGATTGAAAAAGCCCCTCCTTTAAGTTCTATTAAAGGAAAAACAATATTAATACCAACGATCATTAACAAACGTGTTTCACAAACTATTTTGTATGCTTTACAATTAGTGGATATAATTATAGTGAAAAAAATTTAATTGATATTGTAGGTTTTGTTAATGTTTTGTTTTTATCAGTAACTGTTCATTTATGACATATGATTAAAATATTATGTGCTATATTCATGGGCTATGTGAACATTTGTTTTACTTCTTAAACTTACCATAAAATTGAGAAAGCACAGTTAGACTGAGAAAAATAATCTCCAAAAGTCCTTGCTACATCTCTATATAATATTCAGTATTCTGTCAATGTAAGTATCCTCACTGCAAGAGAAATTCTGACTACTGTCTTTTTCCCCCTTTAATAGAATTTAATATAATTGACTTTCTTTTTTATTCATTCTTTCTTGGAAGGGAAACATCTGGGAACAGATTTTACGAATACCCTTCATCTTGGAAATAATTAATGCGGTTCCCTTCATTATCTCAGTAAGTCCTAAAAGAAGCTTAAAAAATAATTGCGTAATTAGATTTAAGTAAAATCCTTAAATCTAAATACTGTTAAATAATATAGTAGCTAAGATAAATGAATTTAGGCTTTGATTAGAATCATGGTACTAAAAAATAGTAAAATCAGTTGGATAAGTGGATTGTGTAATTAAATGAAAACTAACGAAATTTAATACAACAGAAAAATGAAATGTTTTTTTAAAAATATATGCTCTGGAGGTGCCATTTGAACAAATATCAGTATTGTCTAAAAAGACTAGTAATTTCTTCATTTCTTGTTTATATTGTGGAATTCTTTAAAAAAAATAGAAGCCAGTTAGAACCAAGTTTTTGTAAAAGTTTCTCATACTGAGAACATATTTATCTCTAGTTTAACCATAGGATTTACTAATTCCAATTCTTTTCTTTGGTAAGGAGGTTGCCAAGAGCCAGATAACCAGCAATTTGCTTCTTTGTCAAAGCACTGTGTAGTATCAATTCCAAGATGATCAAATTCAACTGCTGTGCCATAAATATGTAATTCAGCACATTCCAATTTACAAAACTATGTTTTAATCTCAATTTGATAGAGTTATAATAAGATCTGTTGGGGTTATACTTTGTAACATTTTATTTGGAAAAAAATTGAAAGTAAGTAGATATTATCTGAAACTGTTGCTCACTTCTGATAATTATTCTAATTTGAGTGATTTGTCTAGAGGAGTAACTGGAACTAGATTATATGACAGGCTAACCTAATATAATTCTAATCGAACGTAGCTCCCCTGTGTCACTTGAAATGGCTGACTCCACAGAGAGTGAGTGGTAACGTAATGAAAAGACACGTCTTCTCTCTTCATTCCTGCTTAACCCCTTAAGTTACAGAGAAGAGAGAGCCCATGTCTGTTATAAACCATCAACCAAAAGATTTAATGATTGAATTAGCATAGATATCTGGCATCAAGTGAGAGTTTATTATGTTCTCTCTACTTTTTCAATAATTTCCTTAAGAGAGACTTAGACAATGAATGAAAGATCATATCTGCTCCCTGCATTTCATTAATAAATAAAGTATTTGTCACATGTTTTAAATTATTACATTGCCTTTAATTACTTTTTCTCTGTTTTACATTTATTTTTAATCTGCTGTATATGATTCCTTGCTTTGAGATAAAAGTTTAGTTCTTATTTGTTTTTCAGATATTCTGGCCTTCTTTAAGGAATCTGTTTGTCCCAGTATTTCTAAACTGTTGGCTTGCCAAACATGCCTTGGAAAATATGATTGTAAGTATAAAGTGATGTGCACATACAAAAATATTTTTAAACCATTTTTTACTTTCAAGGTTTAAACAGAGAGAGATGATTTGGGGTCTAGTCTTAAACTTTCTTGCTGTGTGTTCTCCCATAAAATATAAACTTATACTATTGGAATTTATTTAACTATAATTAAGTTTCCAAGTGTTTCATTTTTAATATTCTTACAAATTAATTTAATATCACAGTAAATAGTTTTATTTAAATGTTTGTACAAATGAGTCTTCTTGGCAAAATATTGTTGAATAATTAAAGTGATACATGATTCAAATTAATAGACCTTAAGCAACCAGTGTCCTGTATCATAATCAGAATGAAAGCCATAAAATGTTCATATTACCAAGTTACTACCTTTGTAAGGTTCTGTGACTGGTAAGCAAAAATGATTCCGATTTCCTTAATGTCACTAAACCAAATCCTAACTGCTGTTCGGACTGGTCCAACTAGTTAGTCAGTCTTCTGAATAGCCTTCCCTTCCAAGGCAATCTGTTGATGTGTGATGGGACCCCTGGCTTTAAGAATTCAGGTAGGTGATTTTGTCAAACTGCTCTTAATTGTAAGTAGTCACATATTCTGTGAAAACCTGTTGAGTTTTCTAAGACCCTTCCTGGGATCTGGAAGTCCCTCATTTAAAGTCATCCTTTTAGATTTGGTTGAGTTGGGTTGTGAGTGGGATATTAGGAGGGAGAAAGGGAAACAGGAGGTAAGAGTAAAAGCTGCAGAACCCAGAGCTATGCCACGGTTGCATTTTTCCTCAGGCTGACCCTGCTTGGAAGGAATGGTTTATAATTATGACCAAAATGTGTTTATGATAGCCTTCAATATTTAAAATAAGCAAGCTGCAAGACATTTTCTATTGGGTCATTCATCCTACAAATGTTAATACAGGTCCACTGTATGCTAAACACTCCGTTTGGCAAATGATTTAACTTCTTTGCTAATATTTTCTTCTGCAAAAGAAATGAAAGTACCTACATTGCAAGCTTCCTGTAATAATCAAATTAAATTATGCATACATTCGTATATATACATACATACATGTAAAGTTTGTGTGTAGTATTAACATTTTATCTGGTATAAGCATAGCCGGGCTCAAAATTATTATTACTGCTCTGCAAATTATACTAGTTTGGCAGCAAACTTGTTTTTCATTTAAATGGGTTTTAAACAAACATTATTACAGAAGTTTTAGCCCAAAGTAGTATTTGGATAACATTGAGTATTCGTTTCTAAACATTTATATCACATGTACTGCTGGAGTCTCATGAGAGTACATGGCCAAAGGGTGGGAGAACATGGTTTGCAGAAACATTGGTCTATCTTAATTGCCCCAAAGAAATACTGTTTGACTAAATATAGATTGCCTAAATTGCTAATAAAAAAGACACCAGGAAAAAATAAACTTCTTTGTTAATTACTGCGTTATTAGTTGTTGGAAAGAAATAACATAACTATGACAGGAAACATTAGTCAGTGAGAATAAAAGAACTATTTTGCAATATTACTTTAGGATTCATTTTCCATTTCATTTCTATATCTCTTCTCACTGGATGCTAAATTTTTATTTGCTTTTCTATTCCTTAATGCCTCTCCTATAAGAAAATAAGGAATGAGAGATGTAATTCAAATCATTCGACTTAGTTATTTGTTTTTATAACAGTTATGGTTAAATGAGTGGTGAAAGAAGATAAGAAAGTGAATGGTTCGTTGAGTTTTTTTATTGGCGAAGTTTATCTCACGCTATACTGATTTTAAGACTATTAAAAGTTTATTGTAAAAAATTTATGTCAACAGAAAACTATAAAGTAAAAACTTATAAAAATCAGTAAATCTGTCACAGATATTACTGTGTATTATTTTACATTTACATATAATAATTTATATCATTCTATTTTCTATACAAAAACACTAACACCATACGTGAAATTGTATTATGTGTTCAAATTCATAATTGGAATTTTCATCATATACTAATATGTAGTGAACAAGTTCCTATGTTATTAAATATCCCTCTTCAAATTATTTTTGATGGATGTAAATAAATTTATAAAGATACAGATCAATTTATTTGACCATTTTATATTGCAGTTATTTTGATAGTAATGAACATGCATTATTTCATATAATAAATATTATAATTTTATAATAACGATGAACATACATAAACATTGGTGTCCATTTCTGATGGTCTTCGTGTGGTTAAGTTTTAGAAATTATGTCGTTGAGTAAACACTTATCGAATGGATGAATGGATGTGTGAAATAGAAAAGACATGCTTCTGAGTTTTGACCTATATTACCAAAGTGCCTTCCAGAAATTTATAACAAATTACCCTAGCAGTATCATATCTTGAATTGACTCTTTTAAATATTAACAAAATTAAACTTTAAAAATTTGTTGATTGTTTAATTTTTTTTCTTTTTATGATGAATTGCCTGACCTAATTCATGGTAATTTTCCTGATAATGAGCTTTGATTATAGTTTCACTCAGCTATTACTTCCCCCTTAATTGAACATATTATTTCTTGATCTTTTGCAATTAGAATTTACTATGAGAAATCATGCTTACCATAAGGGTTTTTGGGGAGTAAGTGCAACATCTATTCCGATGTCTGTAAGGCAAGTAAACTGAAATTTAGTGCTTTGGTCGTCTTCCCAAGTATTGTCTTTGCAATATGAATGCTATAGTAAGTTATATTTAGATCTAGACAAAAATGAAAATACACTGCTATTTCTATTTAAAGTATATGCATTGGATATATTCAGGATAATTGAAATGAAATACATGGTAATAAATGTAATCAAACTCAGGCACATTTAGTATTTATCAAAACTTACAATATGTTTTTTTCTGTATTATTTTAGAATGATCTACACAGAGCCATTCAGCGTACACAGTCTGCAATGTTTAATCAAGTTTTGATTTTAATATCTACATTACTATGCCTTATCTTCACCTGGTAAGATTGTACATATTAGCATTTTTATTGTCTTTCATCTAATTATAATTTCTAATGGAAACCATATTATAAACCATTTTTGTTAATGATTGGCTAAAAATAAACAAACACACAAATAAATATTCACCATAAAATGTAACAGATTACCAACAGAAGTAAAAGTAAAACCCTTTCTTTGGTCTCATGTTTTTTACAAAATGAGAAAGCACATAAATCATTTGGTATTGATATTTACTGCAACTTTAACATTTTCCCAAATATGCAAACGGCCAAATCACAAGAATTTGTACTGCTTGTCATAGTTGTCAAACAAGAATTTTTCCTTCAAACCACTGACATGAGGTGCCCTCATCTTTCTGCGTTCTTCAAAGCAGAAACACTGTTGAGAAAATTGTTGTCGCCCATCACAGTCTCTGCCCCTGCCTAGCTACATGATTTTTAGTGTGCAATCAGGCAGAAAGCAGGGGCAGATCTCCTGACAGGGTGAGACAAGACTTGGCACTTTGCTTTATTATAAAAAGTTATTTCTCCTTTTCAGAAGGTTACATTTTTACAATTATAGCGTAATCCAATGTGAAATAGTGCACTGCACATAGGGATTCATGTAGATCCTTAATGAGAGAAAAAATGTGAAAATCAAAAATGAGGTAGAATAATATGTCTTTTTTGCAGGAGTCTTAGATAGTATGTGTAATTGTGCTGTGACCTGGATTCGACCCTACTGAGAAAGAGAAAAAGCTAATAAGGAAGTACTAAAAAAAAAAGACTGCACACATACACTAGTATAACTGAGCTAGGTATAAACATAGCTATAGTTATATGTATGTAAATATAGATATGACAACTCTTTGCTAGTATGTAGTTAATAATTTTATTAAATGGATTTCAAATATATTTTATGGCCTACTTTTATATTTAAAAATAAATAATTTTAGGATATTTAATGCCTTTAGAAATAAAATATCCTTATAAAATTGACACAGCCATCTTTTAGATTATTTTTTTTATGTTTCACAAACCATCTTTATGGTTCATCTAGTAAGTATCTACATAAATATGAAATATTAATGGTAATGACTTCCCTTCTAAAGTCACTAAAAATTCTTAACTTTAATGTAACAATGTTATCTGGGTAATTTAGCAGTTTTGTCATGTTACTTAAGGAAAAGTACTTAAAATTTTTATGTTTGTATGGTATGTATATGCTAATTTTTCAATTGCTGGAAAATTATAAAAACTAAAGTTAATGATTTCTAAGTATAACATGGGAGTCTGTTAAAGTACATTTAGTAAAGAGGTAATTGAAATATTAATGCCAGAATAAGGACAGATTATCTTTACGTGATGATAATTAGCAATACTTTGTTCTGGTGGCATCATCATCACAGTAAATCTTCACCTGCAGTGGACTCTCATGGTGCGCTCCTCCTTTCTGACTACTACTATTTTTGTTTAGTTTTAATTTCTAAGGCAGCAACTAGACAAATTTTGCCACTTTCTTATGTCAAGGAATACAGGAGTGCTAGAGAAGGGGTTTTCATTATCTTTGTGAAATTTCCTTTATTAAAATCATTTCTGTTTCATCTTTTTGTTTTATTTGGTATTATAGTTGTTTTTTGTTGTTGTGTGTGTTTCAGTTTTAGACAATTGAGTTGTGGTTTTGACAGATGTTACCTAACGTTACAACTGTCACCGGTATGTGGATATGTCTCTTAATGTGCATTAATTATATAGAATTAAGTTTAGCTACGTAGAATGTTATTGTTTTAAACTGAATGTTCTTAAATTATAATATCTAGAATGAAAAAACTGAGCTTTGATTTCTTTGTGTGTTCTTCTCTACCTTACAAGCAGAATATCTTCATAAATCATGATCATAATAATAAAATTAAGTCTTATTTGAATTCAACATCAAAATTGTACTTATCTACCAAGAAGTATATAAGTACTGTCATAATAGTCATAATATATCATAAGACCGTTTTAATAAAGTATTACACCACACACAATGTAAAATACAAATATACATGAAAATATAGCAAGTTAAACAAATAGAAATATCTAGGTAATCTGTCCAGAACTGGTTCACTAGCTTGATACTGTTGGGGACTAAGTTTGCTTATATCTTGTTTTCTGCCATTTCCAAAACATGGTTTCCATCTCGTGGTTCAAGATGATCACTCTGTTCTTGCCATTTAACTCTAGCCTGTGGGAAGGAGCATAAGACACAACGAAAATTTGCACATTTAATTCATGGTAGAATTTGGTTATATATCCACACGTGGCTGAAAGGGGTCTTGCAAAAATGTAGTCTAGCTGGATAACAATATACCCAGCTGGATATTGAACTATCACAGAAAAAAGAAAAACTGGATACTGTGGAACAGTAAGAAGTCTCTAGCAGTGATAAGTCATAAAAGTTCATATGTCCATCGGTTGTTTAGAACTCAAGGCTGTACTAGTTTGGAGCTCTTGGACAACTTTTTTACATATCATTAAATAAAGATAGTATTAATCATCCCATAAAGTCATTTTAAAATGAGGATTAAATTAGATATAAAGTGTCCAGCAAAGGGCATGGCATATGGTGTGAACACTACAAAAATTTTAGGTTTTTCCCACTTCAAATGCTGTCTTTATATAAAATGATTAAGTTCTCATGTGAGTCCACAAAACTAATATACTTTAAAATATCAAAGCATATTAATAATATGACCTATTAATAATGCTATAAAACTGTACCATTATGCCTAAAATATATATTTAACAGGAAATATTAGAAAACATTTTTCTCCACTGTAATATATTCAGGTTTTCTCACTTCCTACATATTTCCAATACTTGTTTCCTCTAGTTGTCTCCACTAAGTTAAAGTTAATGGTAGCATCTCTCTCTCTCTAGGTACATTTGATACTTTTAATTTTATGAACACATCATCACAACATGTCCGTGGTTCTAGTCTCACTCTGTTCACAGCACTTTTAAATTTATCTTAGAATAAGATGACAGGTAAAAACTAGGGGCGTGGTAAGTAGAGGACTGATCTTAGGCTTCAGACATGAGAGTGACTGTTCTGTAAAGATAAAAGTAAACTATTTTTGGACTATTTAGGAGTATTTCTCCTATGAATAAAGATACCATAATTTTTTACCTACTTTCTGAATATTGAGTGGTATACCACGTCACAAATTAATATTTTTTCCTACATGACTTAGAAGTTTATCTCATATGTATGTTTTTTTTTTACATTATAGTGAGATTAGTTATAATTAATTGCTATTACCTTATATCACACAGCAAAACTGTCAGTGCTTTTCCAAATAAAAACTTCTAATATGTACATTGTAATTTGATCCCGAAAGATTCAGGAACTAATGTTTGAATGAATTGGCTATGTTGTTCACAAATCTCTCAAGATTACCTGTTTTAGAAAGCTGTTATATAGATTTAAAATGTCTCTTTTCTTCATCATTATTAACATTACAAAGACTATCATTAAGCATCTGTCTGAAGAGACACATGCTCAGTGCCAAACTGAAATAAAAATTAAGCTGCCGACCCACTCTCTGTAGGGAATGTGCTCAGAATTGTTTTTCCTGTTACTGCAGTGGAATTGGACTAATATGTCCACACGTCGGCTGTGTGCCCCTCTTGATCAATAATGCACACTCCCAAGACAGCTGGGAATTGTGATTCATTCTGTGTCTCTGAAACAAAGCAGAGTAAACCGGTACATCCGGGAATTAAGCTTATGACTTTAGCTTAATTATCAACATATTCTAACCAATAATAAGTACTATAATTTATGATGCATTTGGTGTTTCTAATTTTACACTGATAGATTTATTTCGCAGCTACTGTGTTTCACACTTTAATTTTGCTTGAATTAATTTGTGTTTATATATTTTCATATTATTTCATAGAGTTATAAAGAACTATATTATGTTAATTGATATTTTCTGTTTCAGTTCAATGTTAAAAATTCAATTCACCTCAGTCTTATTTCAGGAGAAAATAAATATATTTAATCATTAGTTTAAAATACCTAGTTAAGTATTATTATTATGTTTAAATCAAAAGTATTTGGAATTTCCTTATGCATGGATTAACACTTACTTGAATGCCAGATGCTTAAGTTCTTAAACTATGTTTACTGGTTCAACTGCTAAGGCAAATAGCCACTTGGAAAGTGGACAGTGAGAAGATAAGTACTGTGGTTTGGAAAAGGTATTACAACATGGTCTGTGTTAATTATCATCACCATGATATTTGATTCCTAGTTTTGTTTTGTTCAAATTATTTTTGCATATATTATAAATGAATGACAGAAAGTGCATTTATCTGAAGATGTAGCAATTGGCTACCAACCCCCAGTTTGTATTACACTAGAACAAATAGAAAATTATTTGTCCTAACTCATTTTTGCATATGGGCAGTCAGACTTTAGGCAGTTAATTAGCCAAGTAAGGTAAGTTCAAGTTTGGAAAAAGGGGAATATGGTTAGTATATATAAATAATACTATAATTATTATTAATATTAATTTCTAAGAAACATGGTTTTGAACTAAAATTCTATATCAAACAATTCATTTCTGAATAATGATAACAATGTATCATTATTTTCAAACATGCAAATAGTGAGAGTAATAACTAACATTTCAAGTTGTTATGTCAAGCACTTTTCTGAGCACTTTATATATGTTAACTAATTTAATCTTCAGCAACCTATAAGGTAAATTCTATTATCCTAATTTTATAGATGAAGAAATTGAGTTACAAATTTGATATCCATCTTCCCATCTGATCTAATAGTTTCTAGAACACTGCTCACAAGTTTCCAAGATAAATTGATTCAGAATCTAAATTTCTGTTAAACCAAACCATCGTTGAATTATGAGGGTAATGTATAGTTCATTTCAGATGTGCAAGAACTTAGAAAGTATGCTACCCCCAAATATCACTAAGGATGTAATCCAGAAATAAGAAAATAAAAGATAAAA